CTCCTCCCTCCCTGACAGCTTTTGTTGCGGCCTGGTATCTCCGCGTCCTCCTGCATCTGACCCCACCCCCACTTCTCGTCTGGTTAGGGGAGGGGAGAACGGGCCCACCTCCTTCCCCCCCCACTCTGTTCCCTGTGTCCCCGCTGTCATGGCGGTGCTTTGCCATGCTGTTTCCTGTCCGAATGCTCTTGGAGCACTCTGACTGGTTATTTCAGTCAGCCAATCAGAGTGCGAATTAAAGCGTTATGGACAGAAAGACAGACAGACTAAGGCTTGTATAATATTAGAATTGTATTTTTAGTACTCATTAACTTTTCTAGTTAAGTAACTTGGGGCCTCAGTGGTCTTTCTATCCTTTAATACAGAGTTGTCCAACTTCTGAGGGCTGGTGGCTTCATGCTCCCTAGTTGCATGCTGCACCAGTGCCTCTGTCACACCACGTGTCAGTACTCTGTGCTGGTGCCCCCAGGCTATATGGAGCCCCTAGAGGGAGGGGCAAGAAGTGGAAGCTATAAGAGGGAGAGGGAGCCTGGATACCCTGGTGGAAATAACAGCAGTAGGTGATGAGAGGAGTGGTTCCCAGAGGGCCACAGGCTAACCTGTCAGGGGACCACCCTTTGGACAGCTCTAACCAAATACATAATGGCAAATATGTTATGAGCCCGCATTCTCGTCGCATCATATTTAGCTATATGTTTTCTTCCCCAGGTGTGGTCCCAGGAGTACAGGGTATGGAGTATACTCAGAAGAGTTCTACTTACGCCTTGTAATTGGGGAAAGAATGCCATTACATGAACAGGCCTTAAGGAAGTCTAATAGATTTGATAGATACGTGAAAAGGGAAACCCTGTGTAAATAAATGTCCTCCAAGATTGATACATAGCGAGCATGCATACATTTTGGCCACAAATCCAGTACTTCCTGACTTACAGATGCATTGTATTAGGGCCACATCTTTCTTTTTCTAGCTTGTCTAAAGTGTGTTCCCATGTAAAAGATTTGGAGAGTAGCAGCTACTTTTGGTAAACATTGTTGGCATCAAATTCGGATGTTTGGTTTAATAAGGTAGTCTGTTTTTGCCTAGAACTTACACGCTATCCTCTGATAAATATACTGCATGCTAATCTCCCATTAGTAGGAATGTGCAGACACCACCCTCAAAAAAAAGAAAGCTTTTGTACTGCCTTTCTTTCTGACAAACATTCTAAAAAGGAATTGAATTGGACAGGATATACTCCCTCATGTACATGGAACTGATGTAGTCTACCAGAAGAATGCTACCATATCCCCCCAGTGGGCATGAATTTTTTACTTTTCTAGTTTGATACTAGATATGATAGATCCTGGACATGAATATTCATATAGGCAGATCTCAAAGAAGAATTGTGTGTATAAGGTAACATTTTTTTTGTATGTATTTCAGAGATGGCTTGGAAGATCCACTAGATGATACAGCTACAGTATTTCAGCAGTTGGAGCAACTGTGCACAGTTAGCAGATGTGAATATGAAAAAACCTGCGCACTGCTTGTACAATTGTTTGATCAAAATGCACGAAACTACCAAAAGCTATTGCATTCTTCCAGTAGGAATCCTTTAGAACTCACAGTTCAGGAAGGTCAGCATTTTTTTCTCTTACTGTTTATACCAGTGGTAAGCAATTATTTGGGCCCTCAGCCCACATAGGGAGGTTTGATGAGTTGACATGGGCTGGGTCAGCATTGCCCTCCCTCCCCCCTCAACAGTTGGCCAAAACTCCCCATGTGGGATGGGGCCTCAGGTGGGGAATGGTGTTTGGGAGTGGGACAGGCAGTCGAGGCCAGGGATCACAGGGTGGGGGGTGCAGGGCAATGATAGCACTGCTCCCAGCCAGTCTCCAAGGAGACCCTGGGATCATGGGGTGGGGGACAGTGCAGTACCAGGGTTGGGGCAGATCTCTGGTTCTGTAGGCAGGGATTTGCAGAGCTGAGGCCCAGGGTAGAGTGGCAGTCCACTTCCTGCATGCCTCTGCTCTGGGAGGCATGTGCACTTGGCTGGGGAGGGGCCTGCCTGGGCACTAGGTCTCAGGAGCCCAGTAGGGGTGAGGAAGGGAGGGAGGCGGGGGCGTGTGCAGCAGCTCGCCCAGGCCCTTGCATCCATGGCTGCCCCCACAGTGCCCCCACCTGCTGCCACCCAGGGCAGCCTATGCCTGCTGGCCAGGACACAGCTTACAAGCTGGGCTGCTTCCAGTGAGACTGGATCTACCTGGGTGCTGCTCAGCTGCCCTCATCTCCAGCAGCAGCTCCTCCTCGTGCTCTTGTCTCTGCTGTGCCACTGCAGGTGAGGGGAGGAAACTGCAGCAAGGCAGCTCCTGCCCCAGCATACGGGGCTTTGGTTCCTGCTTCCAGCAGCCTTCCTCCTACTCAGCTGCCCACAGGTGACTGTTCATCACACCAGGCAAGTGGAGTGGATGGAAGGCAGCCAGGAGCTGGAGCTAGCGTCCTGCATGCTGGGACAGGAGCTGCCCACTGCAGCTTCCCCTCCACCCAGAATGACACAGTAGGGACAGGAGCAGGAGGAGCTGCTGCTGGAGGGGAGCTGAGCAGCACCTGAGCAGCTGCAGCAGTACCAGAAGCAGCCTCATTGGAAGCTGTGTGTACTGGCCAAGTTCAGACCCAGCAGATGCAGGCAGGCTGCATTGGCTGCCCTGGGCAGGACTCAGTCCCGTATGGAGCATCACAGGGGAAGCCATGGACCAGCTCCAATCAGTTAACAAGCGCCCGCCCATCAGTCTGGTCCAATCAGTTGGCAGGCCGGGTCCACCCCTGATTTAGACTGTGCTTTGTATTCCACTAGTTACGCACAAGCAGTTACAAATATTAATGTGTGTATGAGAAGGAGTTGTGATCTTGTAGTCTAAATATAGACAGCAATATACTGGAAAGTAGGAAGTGTTGAGTTCTGAAACTCTATCTTGTCTGAGCCATTTTGGGTCAAAATCTCAAAGTTGCCTGTGTTTGGGAGTATCTTAAATTTTTTAATATTCAGCTTTAGAAATATAAAGCATAATTTCTCCGACCACAGAAAGTGAGAGCTGTGAAAGTTTATTGCTTCTGACAATCAGTGGGTATGGCTGCAGACAGATGTTGCATTTGCCCTGTGATAAAGTACTTAATCCTGGGACAAAGTGTGATCCATTCAGACATCTGTGTCCATTGTCCTGGGATGAATTCTTAAAAGGTTCATAGGATAAGAAGTGCTAACAGTTTATCCAAGAACATCACAAAACACATTCAAAGATTGCAGCACTGAATCAGTGGCAGAAAAGCCACAGAGCTTTCGGCCACTCACTAAACCTTGGATAGAAGGGCAGTGTGCCAGGCTATTCCTATACTGGGTCAAGCATAGGCACAGCTTGTCCAGGGACAAATACAATGTCTGTTCCTAGCCCAGGTTTCTCATGTTGAGCCTTCCAAATTCAAGGACCCAAACCTTATGGCTGCTTTTGAAAATACAGGTCTTAACTGCTTGGGTTTGAATTTTCTATGCAATAAATGAATTGGCAATAAGCCTTACTACTTTCACAAAATTCTATGAAATTAATTCACTTTTTTTTTTTAAGAAGTACTTAAATCTGAATGCTGAATGGGAGCCAACAGTGTTGCAGAAAAAGTCAACAGCACACTGGGTTGTATTACCATGTTTGTGAGAATCCTAAATGACTCTGAATTTAAGACTACCCCTGATCATTAGATTCTATGCATGAAAAATTTCATAAATTTGTTATAATTTTCTGTGTATAGAATCTAATTATTTGGGGGTGGTTGTAAATTTGTCCCCATCCCACCTCACCACTACAGCAAGGCAAGCAGTAGAACAGGCTGCAGTTGGCTAGAAGGGGCACGGTAGGCAGTGGGTAAGGCAAACAGCCTGACACCTGCCTCCACTGCTGTGTGCTGCCACCACTTATCCTCCAGCTGTGCCAGAGCTCCAAACACTCGCCCACCCAGGGCATAGAGCACATGGGTGCTCCAGCCCTTGTCAAGCTCCGTAACAGCTGATGAGGCTATCAACAATATAATGGTTTGTTCACGAACACAGATGTTGTTTCATGAGTGTTGTTTTGAATTTGATGTTTTGTCATTTATTCTGCTTTTTGTTGGCAACTTCAAAATACTCCCCATGTAAATGGGGGGCATATTTATTATTCTAGTTTATATAATACACGCTTTGTCTCTCTCATTTATTCTTCCATTTATGCACCTGTCACCTTCCCTTTGCAGTCTGTCAGTAAACTTCCATTGTGGAAGGCCAGATTTTTGTTGTGTAGCTGCAGTATGCATTTAGTACTGTCCTCCTGTGATTGGTTTCTTCTGTACATAGGGTCAGAAGTAAATGGTCAGTAAACATACTTAGTTCTAGAGGTCAGTATTTGGGGTTTATTCTGTTAAAAGTTAGAGAATATTTGGTGCATTTTAAATCCATATTACTCCTTACAGAAGTATTCGGTTTCTTTTCTGCAAACTAAACATTTCTGTTCATGCTGAACAATAAATGCTATATCCCCTAGTTATACATACTTTAATTTAGATGTTTAATGGCTTTTAATGTTACAAAATAAGTTAATATAATATTAAGATCTCATTTTATTATATTGTCTTGCTCTCTGTATCGATGGTGATGCGGTCATGGTTTACTAAAACAATAATCCCCAAGAAATGGGTCATTAACAGTAGTTAACGATTACTTGTGATCTATGGTAATGACTGATTTCTTTGGGATTATTGCTGTTATAAACCATAATTACAGATTATTACTGCAATAATTATTTTGTAAAAGAAAAAATGTAGTCTGCCTAAGCAGCTGCAAAAGCAAGTGCACTGAACATTTTAAATAGTGGAAATAGAGAAGAGAAAATTATACCGGTAAACTGATTCTGTGCTAAGAGTAGAGATCCTGTTTATTTTTTCCAGCTAAAAATAGGAGGAGGATTATCAGAAAATATGTTTTAATTTGGGATAGTTCAATATGCAGCGAAGAAATTGTTTTTATGTTTAAATTGAAATTCCTAGCAGGGTGTGGTTCAAAATGGTGGCTCTGCTGTTTGACTCATTGAGCACTTCTTTTAGCTCTGCAAGGCAGCAACTGTTTGTACAGTTTTTTGAAATGGCTGTTCCTTAAGGTTATTTGATCACTTCAGTGCTTCACTGTTTTCATAGTAGTACTGCCAGGTTGGGTTTATTTCTCTCCAGTTTAAATAAGTTTTATTTATTCATTTGGAATACAGGAACAAAATGACAGAACAAGCTATAAACAACCTATAAACAATGGCATTGAGGGATAAGGCTAGACTGACCGTTTTAGAATTGATATCCATTCCAGAGCATCATCAGTAGCCTGGTGCAGGTCTTCAATGCAACCATTAAAATGATAAATAGGACATTCCTCCATGATATGTGCTATAGTTTGGATTTTGCCATACTTACACTTGGGGTCTTTAATAAAATTCCATTTATGTAGTAGGTAGTTGCATCTACTTTGTCCAGTACAAACATGTTCAACACTGTCCAGCTCCGCCTTGGTAAAGCAAAGCCAGGGAGTTTAGATGTGGGGTCTGTGATAAGAAATGTATTAGTGGTGTCAATTGTGTTCTGTTGCTGGTTCCATTTTTCCTTGATGTCAAAGTTTGGGCTATTCAGCTCTTTTCCCAAACTCCAAAATGGCCTTCTTGACTTAAGCCTTGGCCTAGGAAAGATCATTGCATTCTTCAAAAATTAGTAATGAATTGAATGTAAGCAGTTTTTTGTAGACTCTTACAGTCGCCTGTTTATGTTGAAGATTAGGAGGAGGAATACAAGATAGATCAGACAGCCAGGGAACAGGAGTGGGTCTGCAAATACCTGTTATGAGTCTCATTGTTTAAATGAGCTGTTACATGCGTAATTAGAGATTATTTTTTGCATGAGGATTTTTGTTTGGCCAGTAGCATCTTCTCTGTGTTGATGAGGCATCTGGATAATTGCAGATCCTAAGGAGATGTCACTGTGGTGGACGCAGCATTCTTTGGAGCCCTTCTGTGTTAGTATGGGCTTCTGTTGTCGAACATAAACATCATCTAAAGATTTCTTGTATCATCCCTATGAAATAAGTAGGTTTTATTTCCTTTCTTTCTGTAGATGGGTGAAGTGAGACGAGAGTTTAAAGCTGAAATTTGCAAAGCATTCAGTAATTATGGGTGCTTGAGTTGCTGAGCATGCATATTTGAGACTTAAAGTGTGTTTAGGAGTTGGTGAACTCTGAAACTCCTGTTTACATCATTTGGGGTCATGAGTACTCTGCACAATAGCAAAAAGGCACAAGGTATTTTAGCGTACAAATATTGAGACACGGAAAATTCTCTCTTAGATAACTTGTTTAAAGTCAGAAAGCTCAAGAAATAGCTGAGGTTTACCCTAAGGACTTGTACTTCCATTCTCACATTTAGATCAAGAGTTTTGCTTCCTTTCTGGAGACCAAGCTCAGATGCAGAGGGAGAAGTAGACACTGGTAGCAGTATACTGTCTGAGCAGTCTTTTCACTCCATCTCCATTTATGTAATTTCTTTAGCTGTTTGCAATCCACAGATTAATGCACAAGATTTATCCTCTGAATGACTTATTGCACAGCAAAATTGGACAAATGTCACCACTGAATCTATGGCATTTGTTTTAGAGTTTCCATCATGCCAGGGAAGTTTTGGATGAAAATCTTAATACGATTAGCAAAAATACCGACATGAATACATACGTGGGTTTTGGATAAATTGTTGGCTAAATATTTGTTTTCAGTGTTTAAAAAATACTGAGAACAAAGATCTAACTGGAGCCGCTACTCCGTTTGCACACATGACAGCATATTACATGGAAGAGAGAACATTTACTTTTTGATGTTTTTCCCCCACCTTTTGCAATATGTTCTTTTTGCATTCCTAATCAAGAAGAAAGGAAAAAGTAAATGGTTAGTGTAAAGTATTGTCCATGTTAATGTAGAGTCCTTGAAATATAATAGGACACCGGGGGTTTTTTGATTTTTTTCAATCTATCAGCCAGAGCAAATGAAGACACATTTTGTTTTACTAATGTTCTATTGTTAATTCTTCTATTGCAATAACAGAATTTAAAATCTTCCCAGTCCTTTTATATCAGGAAATGTAGACTTGAAAGGACTTTCTATAGTTTAAAATACTTTTCTCATTCCTTGTATGTTATTCTTCCTTACTCTTAGCTACTTGTAAATAAAATATATACCATTCTAACAGTTGGTTATTTGTTGCTTCAAATCAGCAACCTTTTTATAGATTTCATTCTATGGTGTGCATCAGTCTCATGCCAGCAGTGATCATTTTAAGCAAATACATACAGTGTTTGGGCTGCTGTTGTACTCCAAGATGATTAGTTATTCTTCCTTAATTATTTTGAATGTTTTGTTCAGTTGCATAGGGTTGGCTTAGTGTGTTAATTTGTAGGTATGGCTGTCTGTCTAGCATCCCAGATACAAGTATCTCATATGATACGGTTTTTGATATTGGTAAATACAAATATCCAACCATGATGCTTGTTTTTTTTCCCTGTTCAACTGTTGTTGATTTAATAGCAATAACATCATATCTTTCAGATTTTGAACATTTTAAAGATTTATATAAATGTTGTGTTTTAGATTACCAAATATTATAAGATAAATTGAGAGTCTTACCCAGTCATTCCTGTAGATTTCTCAGCAAGAGAGAATCGGTTTATAGTAGAGAACTAGAAAAATATCTTTTGTTTAAAAGCCAGGATTGCCAAATGTGAGGAGTTAATTCCTTGAGACAGGAGACAGTATTAGCACCTGGTATTGTTACTTTAGATCAGAGGTTCCCAAAATTTTTCTTATCCTGTATCCCCTACCAGATTTACTGGCTGCCCAGATACCCCTACAAGCATACATTTTATATTTTAATTCCTTAAATGCCAATTATTGTCATGAAAATTAAATCTGCCAGTACACAATTTATCCCATGTATCCCTGGGGGTACCTGTATCACATTATGGGAACTCCTGCTTTAGATTATTAACATTTGGGGACAGTACACCATACTAGCATAATGGTGGGTGTTTGAGGGGCATGGGCCCCAGGCACTACCTAAGGGGTACTGGAATGGAGGTGAAGCAAGACCCTAGCCTCTTATCTCCCCCTTCCTCTCCCTTGCCTCCATCACCCCACACCTTCCCTCCAGTAGTTCTAGTAACAGGGAGGTAACGGGGTACCTCCTGTCTAATAACAGGGAGGGCAAAGAAGCTGTGGTGATGGCACAGTTGCTGCCAAGGGAAATATTGCTTTCTTTTTTTGCTGCTGAGAAATCCCTCTCCCCTTCCTCCCTCTCTGGTCCCTCTCCCTTTGCTGGAGCTAGAGCTAGAGCCGGATATGAAAATGTGCAGGGTGTGGAGTTATCAGGGGTAGTACTGCCTAGGGCAGTAGTTCCCAACCTTTTTTTTCCCCGCATGCCACTGCTGGGAGCGGAGTGCAGTGGCAGTTGCTGCCTGGGAGTGGGGGAGCTCCCAGCATGTAGCACAGCTTGTCTTTTCTGTGCGGTGCTGCCAGCATTGTCCCCATGACCCTCATTTGGGTCACGACCCAGTGTTGGGAACTGCTGACCTATGGTATAGTAGTGAGTAGTTCTGCCTCTGGTACAGCACCAATGATTGTGGATAATGATTCCCAGGGGAATTTTCAGTTAGAAAGCACCTTTGCATGTTGGCATTGGTGCTTATTTCTAGGTACTGTCCCTTTCACAAATTCCCATATACCCTGGGGGTCCTTTGGTAAGCTCCAGGATATATACAGGAGAGGAGGTACCTGAGATTTGGGGAGCAGTTGTATGAAGAGGAGATTCCTATCTAGTTGCACTGTGAGAGAGCAGAAGTTATTCTGTGAAGATAGCCATATTTTGCTTTAGGCGGTAAGAGGATGACCTTCCTGCTTTTCTGTCTTGGGCAAGTGAGGGAAAACCCCATCTCCTTGAGCAGAGAATTTTATAAAGTCTTTCTACGAGATGGGGTAAAATAAGCCATAGTGCTGGACTCCAGGAGCAGCTTGGGATCAGCCCGTCAATGCTGGGCTTCTTTCCATGGCACTGCTGGGGCTCCAGCACTGCAGGCCTTGCCTGGGCGCTAGGTTGCTGCCATAGGAAGAAGCCACAGTGATGCTGGGGCTTGAGCACCGCAGCTCTTGTCTGCTTGGCTGCCAAGTGCTCAAGTAAAAGCAGTGATACTGGAGCCCCAGTGGCACCAAAGGAAGATGCTTGGCACTGTGACTCATTCCTGCGGTGGTAGCCAAGTGCTGGGGGTATCAGGCTTCTTCCTGCAGTCCCTAGCAGGCCAGAGCAAGCACCATGTGTGACACCCACTCCAGACTGACCCTGCATGGTACTGCATGTGGCACAGTCTTGGACTTGCCAGAGTTAGCAAGGGTAAGCTTCTTGGGGGAGAACGGGAACGGGATCCATGGGCTGGATCTGCCTGGATCTGTGGGCCAATCATCTGGCCTGTGGATCAGTCTTACGCTACTCATCCAGCCCACAGGGTCAGATGAGTTTGACACTCCTGTTATATGGCAATCAGCCTTAATTTTAAAGTTACCTTTGTGTTTTACAAGTACAAGTAAATATATATTCATGAGTCTGTCCTTTCCCTCTTATCAGCGTAAGAATGTTTCTGACTATATTTGTTTAGTTTTTTAGTCCATTTTTCAATAAAATCCATTTTATTTTAACATTAATATTAGAGGCATGAAGCTTTCCCACTCTGCTTGATAATCTCTTCTGCAGTGTGATATCTCATAGAACTGCTCTATACTAATGTAGTTGTTTATTAAAGTCTTGTTTTCTTTTTATCTTTTTGATGTTAGGACGACTGGCATGGCTAGTGTATTTTGTGGGTACTGTTGTAGGAGGAAGGTTAACTTATACCAGTACTGATGAACATGACGCAATGGATGGAGAATTATCTTGTCGGTAAGTGCAGTAAAAAAAGGGGGTCGGGGGGAGAAGGAGACTATGTAACTTCCTTTGTGATGTCTACAGGTAATCAAAAGACGCTCAGACTTTAAACTTGTCTCATCATTGCATTGATTAAAGACTCAAGGGCTGCATTTAATTTATATGAAATTGAATGATTACAGTTGGTGGAGATGTGTTTGATTTTGAAATGCAAGGTTTTTATATTGAACTGACTAGAAAGACAGTTACTTAGAACTGAAACTTCAAAACTGAAAACTCATTTTCAGTGCCCTAATTGTTGAGCAACTATATTAGTGCATACATCATCTGACCGTTTGCAACCACCCTACCTACATATAAGCATGTTCCTTTATGTATAGACTTAAATGGTAAATGTGCTAATTTCCTACTGACATTTCCTTCCTTCATTTTTATCATGGGTTGTGTATATGGGGACGTTGATGGGAATTGTGGCCCTTAGCATCTTTGGAAAATAGGCATTAAGAGACTCAAGTTAGAACATTCAACAGAAGAGCCTACTCCTTAAAAATATGGGCCTCTCCCTCTCCCTGATTTGCATTTATTGAACCACAGTTTGAACAGTAGTTATTGTGGATGCCATCACACCCCCTTTGGCAAATAGGGTTGTACAGGCTTTATACCTGTTGCACCAAAAGTAAAAGGACTTAAATATTTAGAGTTGGCTGCTGATTAATGCATCTTTTCTATTTCTGCTTATAATAATCTGCCTTGGTGCTTTGCATTTTAGTGATTTTCTCTTATAGTATTATTAAATATGAGGGCCATTTTTAATATTTAGGCTTATAGATGGCACATATACATTATGTATTTCAGACTTAAGAAAAAGTCAGAAAAGTCCAAGCAATCGATTACATTGTCAGAAGGTAAAAAATGAGTAGCAACAGCTCTGCCACAGAGTCAGATTTGTAGTTGGTGTCTATTGAAGTAGCTTCTTTTAAGTCAGTGCAGTTATGCTAAAGATTTGGCTGGTGTTTACTGAACTTTTGTGCAGCTGTTCTAAAATGATGACTGGGGGAAGTATAACAAAAATGAGACAGAAAACATACCAAAGCCCACACAACATTGTTCCTTTATATAATATTTCTAAGTATTTTTTAGGAACCTTAAACAAATCTGTAAACTTAATTTGAATATCCTCTACAACTGCAGTTTGAGTCCTGATTTATTTTTTGCTGTAATAACTAATGTATGCTTTATTTAAATGTGATACTGAGAAAAAGGAGTGCTGTGCAAGCTGACTAAAGTATTAAAAGGTGTCTAAAAGAAATGAAAGTAATGAAACAATTTGTTTGAAAATCCCTTCTGAAAATGTTTCCCTTGTTTAGAGTTTTTCAGCTGATATCCTTGATGGATGCCCAGTTACCACGGTCTAGTAATGAAAAAGTAGAACTTGCAATTCTATGGTTTTTGGATCAGTTCCGTAAAACATACGTAGGGGACCAGCTCCAGCGTACCTCAAAGGTAAGTCTTTGCTGAAGTTAAAATGGAAAAGTCCGTGTATGATGTAAAGATTAAATATTTGCGTAAGAATACATGCCATAGTAGAAAATGAAGAAATTAGCTTGGGAATGATTAAGCTTAAGTTATTTAAGTTAGTCTCATAGTTATCCATAAAGATTTACTACTACATGTTTTTCAAGGTTCAGTATGCAGAGAGTTAACATTTGTAACAGTTGTATTCATTAAATTCTTTTAGGTTACTTTGCATTTCAATTTTTATTTCAAACATTTAACTGGGTTCTGCTATATTATGTTATATTTCACAGCAGGGTACACAAGATTTATTCTTTTAATAGTTCTGTTCTTTTGACAGTTACTCATTTATGCAGTTTCCACTGTATTTCTCACTTTACTTGGTTTTCTGCATTTTAAATAGGGAAGAGGGAAAAGTAAGATGCATTTTTGAAGAAGCAGCAGTTAATTCACCTTAACTGTAGGGGACAGTCGTAATATAGATGTTATAAAGACAGCGTCAGTAAGACGAGATCAATTGATCTTGAGAAAGATAAAGAATTTTGTTTGAGCCCCGAGCAAATCTTTAGCAAGACTTCTGACAGTGACTGAGATTTTGTTTTTACTTATGTAGTGCTGTACCCATGCTTTCTGGTGAACAGTCCCAATCCCAAGAATTTATCCCCTTTGGGTTTGAATTGTACTTAAGGTTTATTGAATGGCTCCTCGCTCTGATATCGAAGAATAAAATTTTACGCTATGCTGAATTACTGTTATTCATGGACACTAAGTGTTCCTTTCAAGTGTCAAAGCTGAGTTGTGATTTTTTAAAAAAATACAAACTACGCATTGTTCAAAAATGAGAGTGAAAAGAATAATCGCTTTGGGTCCAATTCTTCTATTGTTTCACTGGCAAAACTCCCACTGACTGCAACTGGGATTGTGCTGTAATTACTATTCTGTCCAATAATACTGGATCTTGTCTTAATTTTTCTAGCGTCTGAAAACTTTTTGTATATAGTTCTGTTTGGGATCTTGCTGTCTGAACTGAAGTTGGGTGAAGGTGACAGGTTAATGTGTTGTAAGTGAATGGCATGTTTTTTTAGCATCTCCTTTGCTAGTCTATCAGAGGTTCTGGCTTCTATGACTATGGTGATGTTGGGTTAGTGCAGAAGAATGATTGGGGAAAATCATCTGGATGTGGGTAAAATAACAGTGAAAAAAATAATAATTTTGTTGACATTTAAGTGCTTAGAGCTCCAGAAAGATGTATAACAAACAGATATATAACTTGAGTTCTTGCTTACTAAACCACAGCTTAATTTATGTGAGATTATCAGGTTTAACAGTTTATTTTTTCTAAGTGAGAAATCAGAAAATGGGTGCCATAACTACTGTGCATGTTTTTAAATGGCTAACTATTGATCGAAGTATGGCTAAGATTTATTGGAGAGTTTTTGTAAGAAATTAACTATTTTAAAAAGGTAAGGGAAGAGAGGTAAGAAATGTGTAGGGTTTCACTGTTCCCAAATTAATGTGCCTGCATTCAACCCACTGACCCTTTGAGCAAAGTACACTACCCCTGACTGGAGCTCCTCTTATAGGCAACCCAACTGGTAACTTGACACATCAGTATGTCTTTTGTTGTATATAAAACTACAAATGTCATAACTACTCAAGACCTCACAATCTAGTTGCTGTATTAGGAACTGCTTCATACCTAATTGCAATCAAGCTTCCATTATAGGTCCCATTTGTGGCCAGACTTTATCTTCCACTGGTATAATTTAATTTATAGATACATTAGTTTGGTTCTTTTCCTCTTATGCAAGGCTCAGTTCTACAGCCTTTCAGACATGAATAGAATCTTCTTGGTTTGAGCACAAGTATTCTTATCCCAGATCACTTCACATCTGCATCTAAAGTTAGGTGAAAAAAGATAATTCTTTAGGTTCCTTCCAGAAATGTCCATTCTGAGGACTTTTCCTGTGAAGTTTAAATCAGAAGAGACCTTTGAATGGTGGGGAGGTTTGCTCTGTGTGGGTCTAGAGCCTGAGTTTTCAGTTGGTGACAGAAATTACGTACTTGATCTCTAATGAGCCTCTTGCATAAAGACCCCTGTACATGCAGTCATGTTGAAGTCGATTATTTCAGGAAACAAAAAGCTTATTTTTATATGTTACGTATGTGAGAAAAACACAAGTTTTTTTTCTTGGTTATCTCCTTTTTGTTTTCTCCTGCTGTAGCAACACATGTAGCAGCAGATGGCATTCTATCCCTGCAGTTGTAAATCCTCTGGTACTATATATTGCTAGCAGGTATCTAGGAACATGCAATAAAAGGATTTACACTTGGAAGAAGAAAAAAAACAAATATATATCAAATGACTAAGTTAATATCCATTTATATAAATATTCAAGATTGCATAGATAGATATACCAAAGTTTTATTTACAGAACAAATAATGGATTGTCTGCATGTTTCAATCATATTGAACTATAGCTTGAAATACTTTGCGTGAATATTCTTAAATTTCATCTTATGCTCATATACAAAGAAAGTCAATGGTTAAAGTTAAATAATCCAATTTAACTACAAGACTTATTCAACACTGTCTAGGGTGATTTAAAAAATATATTTTAACCAAAATCTCACGTTATAATCAAGAAAAACATCACATATCAAATATTGTAGGTTGTAGAAAAGGCTGTCGTCATAATTCAGTGAATACAAGTCTACGTATTTGTTCATTAATTGATCCTTCAGGGTTTTCTTTGTAAGTCAGCAGAAAAAGCCTTAAAGATCTCTCCCATGATTCTTTTCCATATTGTTGGTACAGTTGCACAGATGCTGCCATTTAAAAGAAAGTTATAAGGATATATTCTTTGCACTGGGCTCTGCATTTGAACCTGTCTAATATGTTTCTAATTGCTATTGCCCTGTTGAGGTATTTGGTCCTAAACTTGTAATTGGCTCAGAGAGGCTCGCCCCTCATTTGGTGCTATGTTGTGGATATGGGCATGTTGGCATAGGAAAAAATAGGTTGGCTAGAAAAGCACTATGCTGCGCTGAAGTTGGGTATTTTCAGCTGTCCTAACATAGTACAGGGAACAGTACAGGTGGCTTTTAAATCACATTTGTTCCACTATCAGCCACTGCTGTTCTTCTAATATTGGAATTTGATGTAGTACATCAGTAGTCAAAATCTTATTTATTAAACAGAACACCTAGGCAGAATCCTGGTTCAGTTTATATGTCCAAATGGACAGATCCGGTTTTGGCACTTACATCAGTATGTGATCCTAATCCATGTATATAGACTGTGCATATCCAACTACTTCTGAGGTCCTGTACAAATGTTCGCTTCTGGCAGTGGAAAATGTCCACTGCTAGAAATGATTCCAGGAGAGGCAGCAGTACAGACATTCATTCTGCAAATGCTCCCTCTTTCCTGCTCCTTAAGGCTTTGCAGGACTGTGCTGATCCTAGTGTGAGGCTGTCAGTCCTTCTGTCCCTGTGGGGATTGAAACAGTTGGGCAAAGCTCCCCTGCCTGCTTCTCACACCAGGGACTCCAGCATGAGAAGCAGGCAGACCTGAGAGCCAAGTGAATGAAGAAACACAGCAAAGCCTCTTGCGTAGTCTGTCCCTCGTTCTGGGGACTGGTGTATAGAGAAGCCTTCAGGGAACAGCTGGCAGTTGCCTCTCCCTTCCTTCCCCCCCCAGTCTAGGGGAGGAGCTTGGAGCAGTTGCCCCCTGCACTTTCCCCAGACCAGTGTGACCCCAGTTTCTGTAAGGCACAGGAGTCTTTCCCCAGGACTCCACTCCTCCTAGTCCCCCGTCCCCCCTGAGGAGTTAAGCCACAGGAAAGTGTTCAGATGTTCCTTTTTCAAAGAGAAACTCTCCTGTGACCAACTTTTACCTTGCTGGAATCAGGTTATTTCTCTCCCAGAATGGCCATTTTTCCTCTGGGTGAAAAAGCTGGAACATTTGTACACTCATTCTTTCCAGATGAGTAGTGATTTATCCTAGTAGAAACCAAATATTTGTACATAGCCTGAATCTGTCTCCAAATTTTAGCCTGGCAAAAACCAGGAGGAACTCCCATGTTTTAGCTTAATAACCTATCAGTTAGGACACTTGCCCAGAAAACAGGAGATGCAAGTTCTAGCTCCCTTTGCCCAGAGGGTGTTTGGACATTCATTCCTCTGACATTCTAGCACAGTGCAGTAATCACCAGGCCATAGGTCAGACATTATCCGGTCCTCCTCCTGAAACTGAGCAATTGCCACCTTCATTTAATAGTCATTGGATAAGATTAATGAACAACAATGGAGAAATTTCTGTCCTTTTGGAAACAGGTGTCCAGGACTAGAACCTAGGACCCCCTTGCTTCATGAGGAGTAGCCATGTCACTGAGTACACCTCCACTAGCTTTTTTTCTTCTTGACCCCACATTTCTCTATCTCTTGGCTGCCCAGCAGACCCGTTTCAAAAGGAGGGCTGGAGATGAGGGTGCAGGGAAACCAACGATGCCCAGCCTGTGGTCTTATAGTTTGAGTATTGTGCTGGGAAGTCAGTGAGATGTCAATTCAAATATCCTCCAGGTGAAGGGGGGCTGGGCTTCCTATTTTCTGGGTGAGTGTTCTTCGCTAGCATCTACCATCTGCTAATCATAGGATTTTGCCCAGTTAGTGTGATTTTTACATACATCTGGGCTAGCATATGGAACTGTGTACTTGCCTGGCCAGAGTGCAGGCTACTGTGCATGCCCAGTAGCCATGTGGACCCTTGCATGTCTGCATTGCATGCAGAATAGGATCAGAAACTGTGTGCAAGTGCCAAAATAGCAGTTAGAAGACATTTAAGGAATGTAGAAATAAGAGTCTGGCTTTTATGTTACTACTTTGAGTGACTCAATTATTAGAAGTGATTCAGTATTCTTAGCTTATGACAAACTGTACAAGTATGCATTTATACTATTACTTTTGTACATGAACCACACTGAAAA